TTGCGCATGTCCCTGCCATAGGTGCTGGCTCTAGGGGGGCTGCTGCACCCCCTGGCTTTAAGTAGTTTCCATCACATACAGGGTTTGCAGTTTGGTTCAGTGGCGCTCAGCACCCCCCACTGTACAAATTGTTCCAGCCCCCCTGCTTTTAGCTCGGGTCTCCTGGCCACATACTGGCTCTGACGGATACAGGAGTAACTGCGGCATGGCTGTCAAGTATCAGAGGGGTAGCCGTGTTAGTCTGAATCTGTAAAAAGCAACAGAGGGTCCTGTGGCACCTTTAAGACTAACAGAAGTATTGGGAGCATAAGCTTTCGTGGGTAAGAACCTCACTTCTTCAGATGTGGCATGGCTGTAACACACCTGTGAGAGCGTGTCTCCCCCTGGTGGTGGTCCCCAGCAATTACAACACTGCTTTTGAAACTCCCTCTCTAGGGCAGTGAAGAAAATGGTTGATGCCCGCGACCCAACGGAGCTGGGGATGAGGGGTTTGGGGTGTGGGAGGGGCTCAGGGCTGGGCAGAGGTTTGGGGTGCAGGGGTGAGGGCTGTGGGGTGGGGCTGGCAATGAGGGGTTCAGGGTGTGGGAGGGGGCTCTGGGCTGGGGCAGGAGGGGGTCAGGGCTCTGGGCTGGGGGTGCAGGCTCTAGGATGGGGTTGGGGATGACGGGTTTGGGTGCAGGAAGGGGTTCTGGATTTGGGGGGGGCTCAGGGATGGGACAGGGGATTGGGGCACAGGATTGGGGCGATGGCTTACCTCCAGCGGCTCCCGGTGAGCAGCACAGCAGGGGTGCTAAGGCAGCCTTCCCAGCCAATGGGAGTGCGGACCGGGTGCTCGGGGTGGGGGCAGCGTGTGGAGCCTCATGGCCCCCCCACCTAGGAGCCGGACCTACTGCTGGCTGCTTCCGGGGCACAGTGTGGTGTCAGAACAGATAGGGACTAGCCTGCCTTAGCCTGGCAGCACCAACGGGACTTTTAATGGCCCAGTCGGTGATGCTGACCAGAGCCACCGCGACCCAGTGCCTGACCTTCCGCGACCAAGTGCCTGACATGCTGCGACCCAGTACTGGGTCGCGACCCGCAGTTTGAAAACCACTATGCTGGGGGACATCTGCATCTTTAGGTGCCTAAATAGCTTTGGAAATCCGGCCCTTATTATATGCCTGTGGCTCAAGCAATAGAAGAGTGTGCTAAAGGTCGAAGGTTCGAATCCTGCTGGTGAACGTACTGCATCTGTGCAGACATGGTCCCAAGTGCATTAACATAATGCTGTCGTGTCCTACCCTAGAAGCAGCTGCACTTTGTTACCAAGACTACAATCCATGCTGCTGTGTGGCCATTATCCAGCTGCCACACCCCAGAGGTGGCTGCATCTCCGTGCTGGGTAAGTGATCCCCATGCAGTGTTGCTGTGCGACTGTTGTCCGCCTGCCCCATTCCAGAGGTGGTTCCATATCAGGGCTGGCTGACTGAGCTGTGTTGCTGTGTGACTCTTTCCCCAGAGGTGGCTGCATTTCAGCCCTGCCTCAGCGATCCCTCAGCAGCATCGCTATGCGGCTGTTACCCAGCTAAGCCACGCCCAGGGGCGGCTGCATTTCATTGCCAGAACAGCGCGCTCTGTGCAGCTGTTACCCAGTTGCCCCAGCCCAGAGGTGGCTGCATCTCAGCGCTGGGCGAGCAATCCCTGTGTGGCTGGCATCCAGTTGCCCCAGCCCAGAGGTGGCTGCATCTGAGCACTGGGCAAATGAGTCCTGTAAAGCTCTACTCAGCCCATCCCGCTCTGGGTCAGGGCCTCTTTGGCAACAAGCTGTAATACAGGAAAGCCGTGAGTTCCTTGCCACGGGCTCTTCCCCTTGCCCAGGGCTCATTTAACCCAGATCAAGCTGCCTTTGATATTAATGGACTTTGCAACGTGGAATAACCGTTCCCAGTTCCCTGCTGCCACCCAGCAAACTGGCCCAGTCCCTGTCCATACATAAGGGGCTAAGTTCCCTGCCATACGTCCATCTGCCCTCTAGAGGGCATTACCACCTCCTAATGCTGGCACTGCAGGATTTCCATTGACGTCCCAGCCCCAAGACAGTTGAAACACTTTGCTTAGTGCTGCCACCTGCAGGATAGAATGGGAAATGAACGCAGCTGTTTGTCATAGGCTCTATACTGCAAACAGCAGAGGTGGGGCTTCCCGCTTAATGCAAGTGTCTTTGGAAAATGAAGGCTGGGAGACAGAATTCCTGGGTTCTGTTGTAGGCTCAGGAAGGGGAGGGGGGTCTCCAGGTTACAGCAGGGTGAGGAGGGGCTGGGAGTCAGGACTCCTGGGTTCTCTCCCCACAGCTGGGTGTGGAGAGTTATCTCACAGCTCTAGGACTCAGGATCCCTGAAATCCAATCCCAAATTTGCCAGACTCCCTCTGTAACCATGGGCAAGTCACTGGATCTCTCCGGGCCTGCTTCCCCACCTAAAAATGGTGGTGTTAATCCATCATTTGTCTATTTACACTGTGAGTAGTTTGGAGAAGGGACTGTCTCTCATTGTGTGTCTGTGCAGCGCCTGGCACAACGGGACCCTGATCTCAGCTGGGGCAGGAACTGTCTCTCCCTGTGTGTCTGTGCAGCGCCTGGCACAACGGGACCCTGATCTCAGCTGGGGCAGGGACTGTCTCTCGCTGTGTGTCTGTGCAGTGCCCGGCCCAACGGGGCCCTGATTACTGATAGGTCATCTAGGTGCCACGGTAACATAAACAGTAATAATAAAGAGGTGATCAATTACTACAGTGACAGGCATCGAGGTGGAAGAACTAGGATATCTCTAGGGACTTGTTGACACACAGATTTCTGCAGCTCCACCGCTGCAGTGCTTAGCGAAGACTCTACCTACCCCGATGGGAGGGCTTCTCCCGCCACCTCCGTGAGAGGCACCTCTCCCCAAGAGAAGCCCTTCCCTCAACATAGCGCTGTCTACACCAGGGGTAAGGTCCATAGAAGTGTTGAGCTTGGTCACAGTGGAAGCAAGGTGCATTGAAGACCGAGGGGAGGTTCGAAGGGGGAAATAGCGGATGGAAAGGGGTCCATATAAAACCAAGCCAGACCACACCACCTGAAGCCTAGACTTCAACTGCATTAGCCAGGAGGGTCTCTTGTGGGTCGTCTCCCCCCAAGTTCTCCCAGCGTTTAACAGCCAGGCCGGCAGGGACCCTCCCTTGGGCGGTGAGGATGCAGTGTGTCTCTCTGTCCCCCTTGCGTCTGTCTTTCTTCCCGTCCGGTCCCTCTCGCTGGGAGCCACCTGCAGTTTACACATAGACAGACCGACAGCCAAACCAATTTCTCTCAGGCGGGCGGCATTTGTCAGCTTCTGGTGGCCACCCGCCCCACCTCACAGCCCTAGAGAATGGGGCGCATGAACCTCCTGTTCGGGGAGGCTAGCCCCCGGCCCCGCCCCTTCTGCCTGAGGCCTCCCCCCTGCCGGAGCCCCTCCCCACCCATTGCGGCCGGAGGAGCCTTGCCCCAGCCACCCAGAGTCCCGGACAGCCCCAGCCACCAGCCTCCCCGCCCCAACTGGGCTGCCCGACCACACCCAGCCCTGGAGCGCCGGGCAGCCTCAGCGCCGGGCAGCCCAATCGCTAGCCCAGCCGCTCCAAGTCCCGGGCGGCTAGCCGGCCCACCCTAGCCCCAGCCCCCGCCTGCTTTGGGAAAGAGAAACAGCCTGGGCTGGGGCGACAGGGGAAGAGCGGGAAGCAGGAGCGGGGCTCAGGGTGGAGCATGGGTACGGCATCCCCTGGCCTGCGACACCCGCTGCCCATGGGGGATGTCCAGGTCGCACCCACAGCTCCTGCCGCGTCAGCCATCCAGGCATCTCGCAGTGCTTACGAGGAGCAGTGTGACGCTGGCTTTCTGTAGAGACATAACAGGGCCCCTTCTGGTGAGCTAGGATGCAGAGAACAGACCCACAGCGTCCTGGGAACTCCTACCCCCTCCTGCCCTCTGCCACACATGGGTCACAGATAGGGCTGGGGTTATGGGCTGTGTCCCTGTTACCGGGTGGGGTCAGGTATGCGGGGTTTGTAGCCCATTAGTTCCTTTTATTATCCATTTATTGTGCTGGGTGATGTTATGATTCATACACTGTTACATATAATTGATGTATGCTAAGTAGATTTAAGTTGTAGGGTCACAGCAATAAAAGTTTGATTAGGATTTAGGAGTGATAAATATGCATATGTACATCACAGAAGAATGAGGGGGTCACCCCATGAAATTAACAGGCAGCAGCAGTTTTAAAAACAAACAAAAAAGGCAGTATTTCTTCACACAACGCCCAGTCAACCTGTGGAACTCTTTGCCAGAGGATGTTGTGAAGGCCAAGACTATCACAGGGTTCAATTAAGAACTATATAAGTTCATGGAGGACAGGTCCATCGATGGCTATGAGCCAGGATGGGCAGGGATACAAAACCATGCTCTGAAGAGTCCCTAGCCCATCGCCTAGCAACCAGACTTGTGGGGCCGGGTTTACAAGCTGTATCCCCATCGCCTAGCAACCTGACTGGTAGGGCCGGGTTTATAGGCTGTATCCCCATCGCCTAGCAACCTGACTGGTGGGGCCGGGTGTATGGGATTCATCCTTGTTACCTAGCAATGAGGCCGTGGTCCTGGCAGGGTGGGTTTTCTGTCTCCCTCAGGGGCACAGCGTGATGCGGGCGCTGGGGGCCCAGAGCCAGAAGAAGGGGAAGAGTGTCTCGGTGAAGGAGGCCGTGAAAGTGAACAGTGGGGTCAGGTTCTCGGCGTCGTAGAACGACACCCGTCCCCCTTCGCAGTCCAGACAAACCTGGATCCTGTGGGGCCTTCGGTTCGGGGCTGCCGCTGGTGGCCATCGGTACAGGGAAAGGAGCTGGTACTGTCCCAGCTCCACAGCCCACACCCCGTGCTGGGGCTGCAGCTCCCTGGGGTCCCTCCTGCTCACGGACTCCCTCGCCACCCCCACTGCCCAGCCGTCCTTGTCCCCCACCTCCACCTCCCAGCGGTGCCGGCCCGAGGAGAAGCCCTCAGAGCCCAGGATGCAGGAGGCCGGGAAGAATCTGCGGTGGTCGCTGGGCGGGCAGCCCCCACTGTTCCCATGCCACACGCTGTGCCGGTCTGGGGACACCACCAGGCCAGGGTGAGCAGAGGCGGCATCCAGGGTCAGGATCTCTGGAAGGGCAGGAGAGAATTGGAGTAAGTCCATATACAACACAACAGCCCCCTTTCCTTTCAGAGCCAGTCTATATACAGAACAACAGTCCCCTTCCCTTCAGAGCCAGTCCTTATACAGCATAACAGCCCCTCCTCCTTCAGAGCTAGTCCATATAGAGCATAGCAGCCCTCGTGCCATTCAGAAACAGTCCATATACAACACAACACCCCCGTTTCCTTTCAGGGCCAGTGCTGTTGTCATCATGAACAGGTCTGACTACCAGAAGGAGGCTGCCAGACAACTCTCCAATACCAAATTCTACAGGCCACTTCCCTCAGATCCCACTGAGGAATACACTAAGAAACTGCACTATCTACTCAGGACACTCCCTACACTAACACAGGAACAAATTAACATAGAATAACCCCGGTCGGGGCTCTAAGGGTATCTACTACCCAATATCCACAAAACTGGAAATCCTGGACACCTCATCATCTCTGGAATTGGCACTCTCACTAAAGGACTATCCTGATATGTGGACTCTCTGCTCAGACCCTACGCCACCAGCACGCCCAGCTATCTCCGTGACACCACTGATTTCCTGAGAAAACTACAATGCATTGGTGACCTCCCAGAAAACACCATCCTAGCCACCATGGATGTAGAGGCGCTCTACACAAACATCCCACACACAGATGGAATACAAGCTGTCAGGAACAGTATCCCTGATGATGACACAGCACAACTTGTTGCTGAGCTCTGTGACTTTATCCTCACGCACAATTATTTCAAATTTGGTGACAATATATACCTCCAGACCAGTGGCACCGCCATGGGCACCTGCATGGCCCCACAATATGCCAACTTTTTTATGGCTGACCTGGAACAACGCTTCTTCAGCTCTCGTCCACTCACGCCCCTTCTCTACCTACGCTACATTGATGACATCTTCATCATCTGGACCCATGGGAAGGAGACCCTGGAAGAATTCCATCACAATTTCAACAGCTTCCACCCCACCATCAACCTCAGCCTGGACAAATCTACACAGGAGGTCCACTTCCTAGACACCACAGTACAAATAAGTGATGGTCACGTTACCACCACCCTAAACTGAAAACCCACCGACCACTACACCTACCTTCATGCCTCCAGCTTCCACCCCGGACACACCACACGATCCATCATCTACAGCCAAGCGCTGAGGTACAACCGCATCTGCTCCAACCCCTCAGACAGAGACCAACACCTACAAGATCTTCACCAAGCATTCTCAAAACTATGATACCCACACAAGGAAATAAGGAAACAAATCAACAGAGCCAGACGTGTACCCAGAAACCTCCTGTTACAAGACAAGCCCAAGAAAGAAACCAACAGAACTCCACTGGCCATCACCTACAGTCCTCAGCTTAAACCAGATCAGCTACAACATCACCAGTTCATTCACCTGCACGTCCACCAATGTTATATATGCCATCATGTGCCGGCAATGCCCCTCTGCTATATACATTGGCCAAACTGGACAGTCACTACGTAAGAGGATAAATGGACAAGAGTCAGATATCAGGAATGGCAATATACAAAAACCTGTAGGAGAACACTCAATCTCCCTGGCCACACAATAGCAGATGTAAAGGTAGCCATCTTACAGCAAAAAAACTTCAGGACCAGACTCCAAAGAGAAACAGCTGAGCTCCAGTTCATTTGCAAATTTGACAGCATCAGATCAGGATTAAACAAAGACTGTGAATGGCTAGCCAACTACAAAAGCAGTTTCTCCTCCCTTGGTGTTCACACCTCAACTGCTAGCAGAGCACCTCACCCTCCCTGATTGAACTAACCTCGTTATCTCCAGACTGATTCTTGCCTGCATATTTATACCTGCCTCTGGAAATTTCCATTACATGCATCTGATGAAGTGGGCATTCACCCACGAAAGCTTATGCTCCAATACATCTGTTAGTCTTAAAGGTGCCACAGGACCCTCTGTTGCTTTTTAGTTTGATTCAGTGGCTCTCAGCACCCCCCACTGTACAAATTGTTCCAGCACCCCTGGGCACAGAGACACGGGGGGGACAGGGACACATGGGGACAGGGGCAGATGTGTCTGACTCAATGGCAGAGGCTATGGGTCAGCCAGGGTTTGCTTGGGGGGAAGCTCCCCAACAATCCCTCCCCGCCCCTCCCAAAAAACCTATTCCATACTTTTCCCACCCACACCCCCAAACTCTCCAAGTTCACACCCAGGCTCCTTCACAGCAATTTACTTCCCTCTCCCTCAGCTCCTCCGTTACCCCTGACTCCCCCAAGCCTTTGCACTGGATCTGAGGGGTGCGGGAAATACTGTTCTCTATTGTAGTGTAAATGAATTATTACTCCGAGTTCCGTATTAATACGCCTAGTAAGGAATCTATTTGTCAAAAAAACATTTTCTGAATCTTTTTGTTCTCTGTATTGTTACAGACATACCTGCAGACTTGTATTTTGAAATAAATGAGCACAAATGATTGAAACTGGCATGATTATATTGTGTTATTTTGACAAACAAAATATGCAGAATTTTAAAATACTGTGCGCAGAATTTGTAATTTTTTGGCGCAGAGTTCCCCCAGGAGTACAATCAGCTGTTCAACATCTGGCCCTGCACCCCCATCAGCTCTTCAGCAGCTGCACCGCCAATCAGCTATTGAGTGGGGCTGCCCCACCCCGTGCGCCTCTCTGCCTCTCCCTCCTTCACTGCCCTTAAGGCAGGAGGGGGCAGAAAGGAGCCAGCAGCGGGCATGAGGTGCTCAGGGGAAGGAGTCTGGGGGGAGGGGGTGGAGCAAGGGCAGGAAGAGGTGGAGTGGGGGCGGGGCCCTGTGTTGGAGTGGGGGCAGGGCCTTGGGGGAGGGGGCAGAGCTGGTGTGGGGCACCCACTGGCAGAACCAATGTGCCTATGACAGGAAGCCCCCCAAATCTCCTACTGCTCAGCAGAGACTCAATGACACTACAAATAATTAATCATTTAGATTGGAAGCACCTTGGGGCAGGGACTTCCTTACACGTCCTACCCCGGAGTGACCCTACATAAATAAAAGTAACAACAACAACAGTGCCACTGCTTACCCTGGCTCTCCCACATCTCGTCCTGGAGAGCTCTCCTCTTGCGGGAGTGATGCCTGATGCTCTCCTCCAGTTCAGCCATGGGCGCAGACGCCAATTCGGGCAGCATCATCTTTTTATACCTACGGGAAAAAAACAGGCACGCGCCGGAGGGACTCTGTATTAAGGGCACCGTGTGCATGTTAAGTGTGCCAGGGGGAGCATCTCTCAGCAACGCTGGATCCAGCGGGCACAGCTGACTTGCAGTAGGACGCTGCGTCTATTTGCCAACCCCCAAAACTCCCCCTGAGATCTGAGAGTCAAGCTGGGTCCTTGGCATCTAGCCACTGACCAAGGAGAAAAGTTTGGCAGGGACAAACAGGCACCTGTGCAGCCCCTGTCCCTCCTCTTCCTGCCCCTTGGTTACACCTGTGCAGCCCCCCACGTGGCCCCCGTCCCCTCCCCACTCTGCCCCTCGGTGACCCCCACGCAGCCACCCCCCATACTCCATGCAGCCCTCCCATCCCTTTCCTGCCCCTCGGTGACCCCTGTGTGACCCTGTTCCCACGCTTCAGTGACCCCAGCACAGCTCCCCCATTTCTGCCCCACACCTGGCAGCCCCCATATGCCCCCCATTCCCACTGTGGCCCCTTGTCCCCTTCCTGCTTTGCCCTGGGTGATCCCCATGTGGCCCGCCCATCCCCTTCCTCCCCACCCCTCAATGCCTCCTTGCATGCCTCTCCTTTCCCTCGGTGAGCCCCCCAGGCTCCCCAGGGACCCCAAACACAACCCCCATCCCCTTCCGCTACTGCCACCGGTGCAGCCCCCACCCATGCCCTTCTATAGGTGGGTGCACAAGCTAAAACCAAATGGGGCTTCTAGGCCACTCTGCTGCTGATGCAGAAGCAGGAATATTCTGCAGTTGGGATGGGGAGGCCTCTCCCCCCGCCTCCTCCCCGATAACAGAGGGCACGAAGGAGGCTCCTACTTGTTCAAGGTGCTTTCGGCGTCCTAGGTGGGAGAGAAAGAAGAGACCATCAGCTCTCCAGCCACGAACTGGGGCTTGGTGGCCCAGGGGCTGGAAGGGAAGGCAGGGGGTGTATTTCTGGAGTGGGAGCAGGAGTATTGTGGACTATGGTTAGGAAGGAGTCAGTGATTCCCGGGCCACCCCCTGTCGGATGTAAACTGGCACTGCTCGGCCGCGTGTCAGAGCCCCTTCACTGCTGGGAGCAGAGGGTGATTCTCTGATAAGTCCAGCGAGCAAGGGGAGCGCTGGCAGCACGGGATGGTGGAGAGGGGTGGCAAGTTGGGGGCCTCTCTCTCCCCGTATCTCTCCCCCTCACCTTGAGGAGCTCAGCATCCGGCAGCCGGCACTTCCCCTCTAGCTCGGCTACCAGTCCATGCAGCAGAGTCGCCCTCTGGTGGAGCCAGTTGATGTTCTCCTGCCGCAGCTGCTTCACACCCTGGGCCACGTTACCCAGCCCCTTCAGCAGGAGGCGCTCCTTTTCCTGCAGCCGCCGATACAGATGCTGGAAGGTGGACACCACTTGCTGCTTCTCGGCCTTGGTGTGAGCCTGTGGCGGGCAGGGAGAGAGGGGGGCAGGTTGGGACGTCGGACGCGCAGCTTTGGGAACCACAGAGAGCGAGGGCGTGGTATTCCCATGTGAAGGGGCAGCATGGGATGTGTGGGAGCAGGACATGGAAATATACAAGGGAGGGAGAAGCAGATGGGCAGAGAGGTGCAAGCATCCAACGTGTTTTCTGATAGAAAACTGGGTTAACTGGCAGCAGTAGTAGAACTGTTCTCCTCTACAAAGGACCAGCCACTAGAGGGTGGGACCCATTGAGATATCCAGTCTTTATAATGACCTATCTTCAAAACTGGGATCCCACTGCGTGGATCACATGAGCGAAGGGAGTAACTCCATTACCTAGCAGCAGTAGTAGAGCTGTTATCCTTTAGCAGGACCAGCCCCTAGAGTAGAGCTGCTCAGAAATTTTTCAACAACCCTGTTTTTCCATCAGAAAATACTGATTTGTCACACCCGAAATGTTCTGTGGGAACTTATCTGTTTTGACTAAACTTCCGCAGGTGCAGGAACTTCTGGTCCAAGTGAGAGCTCTACACTCCCAGAAGAACCAGTAGCCCAGATGTTAAATGGACATTTCGCTAGGATGTGGAAGACAGAGGTTCAAATCCCCACGCGGCCTGATTGGATCCAGAACTTGAACCTTAGGCCTGGTCTACACTAGGACTTTAATTCGGATTTAGCTGCCTTAATCCGAATTAACCCTTCACCCGTCCACACTACAGAGCCAGTTAATTCGAATTAAAGGGCCCTTTAAATCGATTTCTGTACTCCACCTCGACGAACGGAGTAGAGCCTAAATCGATTTTGTTAATTCGAATTAGGGTTAGTGTGGACGCACACCACCGAATTACTGTGTTTAAGTTAATGGGGTAGTGTGGCCGCACACCACCGAATTAATGTGGTTTAAAACCGAATTAAGGTGCTTAGTGTGGCCGCGCACAATCGAATTTATACAACCTGTTTCCCAAATTCGAATTATCTAAATTCGGATTAATCCTGTAGTGTAGACATACCCTAAGTCACCCACCTTTGAGGAAAGTGCTGTAACCAGGGAGCTCTGGGACACTCTTCTAAGGTCAGGTGCCCTCCATCTCTTCTGTTGGAGCTGCTCCACTTTGCATAAATCAGTGGTTCTCAAACTTTTTTTTTCATGGACCACTTGAAAGTTGCTGAGGGTCTTGGCAGACCACTTAATGATCTTTCCAAATGTTGTTTGTACCATTAGCTAACTATTGTAAAGCACTTTGGAGAAAAGTGCTATATAAAAAAAACTTAATAATAAACTTTTTTTGTTCTACAAATAAAAGTACACAACTCATATTTTAATATCAGTAGTCTTAACCTTTCTAATGCGATGGATGTGCTCTCTCTCTCCCGCCATGGCAGTCCCTGAGCTGGGGCTGGGAAGGGGGGGGGGTCTCCCTCTCTCCCCCACTGCAGCAGCCCCCGAGGTGGGGCTGGGAAGAATGGGGGGGGGTCTCTCCCTCTCTCCCCCACTGCAGCAGCCCCCAAGCTGGGGCTGGGAAGGAGCGGGAGGGTCTCTCCCTGGCAGCCGCAGCCCTGGAGCTGGGGAAAGTCGCCTCTTTCTCTAGCCACCGCAGCCCAGCACGTCCCAAATTCCCCCCACCCCCTCTTCTCAACCCACTGTCCCCTCCCACCTATCCCCTATTCCACCCAAGGAAACCACCTCACCTTACACGTGCGTCTTCTCCAGGGTCCAGGCACCTAATTAGTGGAGCCACCACGCCTGCATGGCTATACTAATTAGGTGGGTGGCCCTTCATTCACTTGTGTGCAGCCACCCAGGAGCGCAACTTAGAGGGAATTATCTGCGGACCACCTGAATGGCGCTCGCGGACCACAGTTTGAGAACCTCTGGCATAAATAGTCATTGGGCCAGAGAGAGAGACTGACTCTGTAGCTCTAGCAGTAGTAGGCTATTGCCTTCTATGGGGACCAGCCACTAGAGAGGGACGTGAGACACACTCTGCAAGGGTGTTGCATTGGCAAAGTGCAGGGGAACCCCAAGGATGGGGAAAGAGAACTTACCAGCAGCGTCTCCAGCCTCCTCCCTTCACTGACGGTGAAGGCCTCCTGGCTGGCGCTCTCATTTTTCAGAATCTGCAGGTGCCTTTGAAATTGGCCCTGTCAATAACAGTGGAAGGATGGCTTGTGGGGAAGGCTGAACTGGGAGTAGGAAATCAGGGTTTGGCTCACGGAGAGAGGATTCAGGACTCCTGGGTTCTGTGCCCAGCTCTGGGATGGGAGGGGGATCTAGTGGGTTAGAGCAGGGGGGTGCTGGGAGTCAGGACTCCTGGGTTCTAACCCCAGCTCTGGGAGGGGAGTGGGGCCCAGTGGTTAGTGCAGGGGTGCTGGGAGTCAGGACTCCTGGGTTCTAGCCCCAGCTCCTGGACCGGGGGGGTATGTGCTTAGAGAACGACTAGGACAGCTCCTTGGTTCTATTACTGGTTCCAGGCTGTGGGAGCCAGGACTCCTGGGTTCTACCCCCGCACTGCCCCTCCTTGCCATCCATGGAGGCCTCTCCCCTCCCAGCCCCACTGCTCTGCTCCAAGTGCCCTGCATTAGAGCCAGTTACCTTGTAGTCCTGGGCTGCCTCCTCGATGGGAACCACCCTGTGAGCTCTGTGCTCCTTGGATCTGTCACACACCACGCAGATCAGGGCCTGATCCTCCTTGCAGAACAGCTTGAGCCTCTCCTTGTGCTTCTGGCACATGCTGCCCTCTGCCCCCCACCCCAGCTGCCTGGCTCTCTCCACCACCTTCCCCAGCAGGGGGTTTGGGTGCAAATGCCTCTCCCAGAATCTCTTCCCGCACTTGGGACAGGAAAAGTTTTCTTCCAGTCCGTCCCAGACCCGGGTGATGCAGGCCTGGCAGAAATTGTGCCCACAGTTCAGGAGTACGGGGTCTTGGAAGGAATCCAAGCAGATGGGACAGGCCAGGTCATCTTCCAGAGCTTTCCCGGGGTGAACAGCGGCCATGGCTGGCAAGAGAAACAGAAACTTACAAGAGGGCTGAGCTCCTTCAGGCCCACCCACTTCCTGGAATCTGGCAGGTGGAGGTGTCTGCAAATCAGCCTGTTTAGATTAATAGGGATAAATCAAGAGCAGGGTGGGGGGAGAGGTGTCCAGCTCTGGGAGGGGAGTAGTTAGAGCAGCGGTTCTCAATCTGTGGCCCAATTAGCACACAGCTGCAGCCCAGCTGTGTGCTAAAGGCTGCCAGCCGGCCCAGCAGGGTCAGGGATCTGGGCTGCTGCTCGACCCCACACAGCGGGTTCCGGGGTCCCTGCCGCCCAATCCCTCGCCCAGGGCTCTGCTCCTGGCCCCACGCTGTGGAGGGGTCTCTGGGCGGGAGGCGCTGGGCATAGGGGTCTGTGGGGGAGGCTGAGGGGGACACGCTGTGATTCTCAACCTGTGGCCCAGGTAACACATGCGGCCCACAATGATAAATAGGTTGAGAACCACTGGGTTAGAGCATCAGTGGCGTGTGTGGGGGGGTATTCTAATGGTTGGATTAGTAGGAGTTTGAGCACTGTAATTATTCCAGTATAAAGTGATTTTTGTTCCAGATTACTGTCGATTCAGGGAGCTGCTCCACAATAGATATCCAGGTCAATTTCTCCAGTCTACTGATCAGAGTTTCAAACACGATCATTAGCAACTCTGCTTCCCGCCACATCATAAGCCAGTGGCCGGATCTCATAGCCCTCAAATTCCCTGCCCTAACCCAGTAGATCCCCACTCCCCTCCCAGAGCGGAGCCCAGAACCCAGGAGTCCTGAATCCTCTCTCGTGAATCTGGCTGTTGCATTTCTAATTAACTCATTGCCTTTCTGTAAGTGCCAAGAGCCGACCCCCCAATGAGCACCCTCGAGTATATTCCCAGAGTTGAGTCAGCCTGGGCACTGCCCCCACAACACTCCCTGCCAAGGGGCCTTGGAGCTGGTCTGGAAAGACCCATCGCCAGGAGGATATACTGTGTCAAAAGAGGGATCAGTTTCATCCAATATTCTTATGTGTATTACAGTAGCACCCAGAGGCCCCAGCTGAGATCAGGGTCCCGTTGTGCCAGGCACTGCACAGACACACAGCGAGAGACAGTCCCTGCCACAAAGAGGCAGGGTGGGAGGGGAAATTGAGGCCAGAGCAATGCAGTGACTTGCAGTGACAGACACACAGTGTCAGAGGTAGGAATTGAACCTAGATCTCCTGAATCCCACTCCAGTGCCTTAACTCCAAACCCATCCCTGTCCTATTAGCCCACTAACACTTAATATTACTTCTCCAGCTCACACCTATTTACCCAGTGCAATTCAATTCCCCTGCTAGGCTGAGACTCTAGAGACGCAGGTTCAAGCCCCAGCTCTTCCACCGACTCCCTGTGTGACCGTTGGCACATCCCTTAGCCGTTCTGTGCCTTACTTTCCCCATCTGTAACAACCTTGGACTGGGGAGCCAGGATTAGAATCCTGATTCTTCCAAGCCCGAACTCCCGCGTCTCTGTTTGACCTAATGGGGATCCTCTCCTAGTGGTAGGTCTAGTATACTGTACACAGGGGCAGTTGCTAGGTGGCAACACATAAAGAGACACCCCCCCGTTCACACACTACAATAGTTATATCATGCTGTCTGAAGAGGTAGCCTCCCGCTCCACGCACACTGTAGCCTGCAGGTCTAGGCATAAGAACGTCCACAATGGGTCAGACCAAAGGTCCATCTAGCCCAGTGTCCTGTCTTCTGACAATGGCCAGTGCCAGGTGCCCCAGAGGGAATGAACAGAACAGGGAATCATCAAGTGATCCATCGCCTGTCGCCCATTCCCAGCTTCTGGCAAACAGAGGCCAGGGACACCATCCCTGCCCATCCTGGCTAACAGCCATTAATGAACCTATCCTCCATGAATTTATCTAGTTCTTTTTTGAACCCTGTGATAGTCTTGGCCTTCACAACATCCTCTGCAAAGGAGTTCCACAGGTTGAGCGGGCGTTGTGTGAAGAAATACTGCCTTTTGTTTGTTTTAAACCTGCTGCCTATTAATTTCATTGGGTGACCCCTGGTTCCTGTGTTCTGTGAAGGAGTAAATAACACGTCCTTATTTACTTTCTCCACACCAGTCCTGATTTTATAGACCTCTATCATATCCCCCATTAGTCGTCTCTTTTCCAAGCTGAAAAGTCCCAGTCTTATCAATTTCGCCTCATATGGAAGCTGTTCCATACCCCCAATCATTTTTGTTGCCCTTTTCTGAACCTTTTCCAATTCCAAGATACCTTTTTTGAAATGGGGCGACTACATCTGCCCTCAGTATTCAAGCTGTGGGAGCACCATGGATTTAGATAGAGGCATTTGCTAGTCAGGCATCCGTGTAAGTTAAGGCAGAACAGCCATGAACCAATGCACCTCAAGGCCTGTCAGACAATAGCTTAGCTCAACTAATCAAGGCATAAGACCCAAAACGCCTTAGCATAAGCAGCGGGTGGGAGATGCCAGCATGATGACCGCTGCTGCTGCTGCTGCTGATGATGAGGAAGATAATGACTAATATTTCAGGTTGTTCTGCCAGATTGGTGAGAGTAGATAGATGCTCACCCGCACATTCGGTTTTATCTCCGTCATCCTTGCTGGGCTAGAATGTTTGTCACTTGGTGAAGTGTGTTAAAACAATTCCAAATACAGAAGATTTTTTTCTAAGCATGAGTGTTCCACCCCTGCACAGCAGGGTTCCCACGTGAACAGCAATTCTACTGATCCAGGGCCTGATCTTGGGCCGAGAACCTACCAAACTTCAGAGTGTTAACTGGGAATTCTTAAGTCCTCAATATAATACATACACAAGCAAGAGCCCAGGCGACAACCACAACACACACACACACACACACACACACACACACACACGCTTGTCTTCAGGCGACGCTATAAAAGCAGCTCTGACGTCACAGAGCAGGTTAGTTCCCCATCAGTTTTAATGGGTGACCCACCTTCCCCACAGACCCACTGGCTCATTTTCCCAGAAGGCCGCGGGGCCTCGCCTCATTTCCATAAAAGCCAGCGCCATGAGAGATGAACGGGCTATAGGTCTGTGACATCTGCCCACCGGGATGCGCCTGGTTTGACAAACAGAAGCTGGTTCTGGGGTGGATCCTGCGGGAAATCCAAGTCCAGAGGCCGTTCAGTCTGAATTGCCCTCATGAGGGCGGGGCAGAGCCTGAGGGTCACGGCGCCCCCTAGAGGTAAGTGAGCCCTGCCCTGAGGTTAGAGTGGGACAAGGGGTGTGCCATGCACCCAGACAGGGCAGTTTCCTCTGCCCCTTAGAAATTGGCTTGTTTGCGCCATCCGTGGCGCGAGTGTGACCCCTGGTGGCCAGGGCAGAGCAGTCTGCACCTGCGCTCTGGTGCTTTGCACCCACAGTCCCGCTCTGCAGCACGAGTGACCCCCTCCAGCTGGCCCCCTACAGGCCTTCAAGACTCTTCGCATCTCAGTCACATTGATCCTCAGCATTAGAGCCCGGCCTCTGGCTGCCCGATCGCCTGGGTCCCTTCCACATCCAGCAGCGATGGATCCAGTTTGCCCAGAGGTGACTCATTCATCGGCTGACGGAGGCGTTCCCAGCCCTGCTGACATGCGGCCGAAGCTCTCCAGGGCCTGATTCAGCTGCTCCAGCTCAGTCCGGAGAGAGGAAATCTACCGGGGGGAGGGAGAGGGGAATGCAGATCTGATCAACGTAGTCACGTCCTCCATCGCCGACATGCCCCCCTCCCAACCCGGACATCCCCCCACCTCCAAATTCACCCATCACTGGGATCAATACACACACACCCCCATATTCACCGCACCTCCAAATTCACCCGTCATGGGGATCAATACACACACACACACACCCATATCCACCCTACCTCCAAATTCACCTGTCATTTGTACATGGGCACATGGACACCCCTCCAAATTCTCTCTCAACGTCACCCCCAGTGGCTAAAATGGGCATCATACACTCCCCTCTAGTGCTGTAATGGAAAATACACTTACACATTCACACATACACATGGGAAAATATGTACACACACACACACACACACACACACACACACACACACACACCCCTAGCAGCTGGACCAAGCCTCTCTCTCTCATACATACAAAAGAAAAACGTTTCCCCGAGAAATTTTGAAAAAAAAATCAAAAAAGGTTTTTCTTGCCCTTGTTGCCTGGTTTAAAATCGAATGTGTTCGTTTCTCATTTCCTAAGAAATGTCTCCACTGGTTTCTTTTATTAATCCGAGTCAGTTGAAATCACAGGGTGGGGTTAAAAAAAATTCACTGGAAATATTTAAAAACAAATGGTTTTCAAAAAAAGGTGACTTTTGAAACTCAGGGAAAATTGAAAAAAAAGAAAGTTTTGATTAAAAATAAGCAAAATTTTCAGGAAAAATGTTTTGCTTTAAAAAATTCAACCCCCCCCCCAAATATTCACAAAATAATAAAATAATAATAAAAAAGGTGAAAATGTGAATGCAGGAAAAGGGCTTTTTTACCCCATTGAATAAATATTTTAAAAGCATTTCAACCAGACAAACCCCACCAGCCACTGCCGCCCATCACCTTCTGCTGACACTCTGCCTGGGCTCTCGGTGAGACCTTCTCCTGGTAGCCAGACGCCTGGGTCCGTGCCGTAAGCTCCAAGATCTGCCGCTCCAGCTTCTTCTTACGGGCCGCTAGCCGGGGGAGCTCCGCCTCGGGGTCAACCAGCCCCTGGGATTGTCAGGAAAGGATGGTATGAAACAGCCAGGTGTAGAGTAATACAAGCGTTAAGCGTGTGCGATCTTGTCACCCTCTAGTGGTGACACTGGGTATAACAGACCCTTCCAGGGATAGGATGGACACCCTGGTTAAATGTGTGATCATGTCACCCTCTAGAGGTGACACTGGGTATAGCATTCTGCTGCCGACACCACAGCTTAGTGGTGTGGGGGGAGGAGTCCTTTAGCCG